CCGGCCGGCGCGTGTGGCGGCGTCCCTCCCTCCTGGCAAAGGAGGCAAAGGCTGCGGAAGTTTTCCCTATCCGCTGCTGGGCTTCAGCGGCAAGAGAAAAATGGACTGACTCGTTGAAATACTCTTCCTTTTTTTTTCTTTTTTTTTTTTTTAACCTCCCCTTCCACTCCTACACGTTGCGGGCTGTCAGCGAACTACCAGGCTGTGGCAGTCGAAGCAGATCTAGTCTATGGTAGGGTGCATAATCCTGGACCCAGAGTGCTTTCCCACACAAAATGGGGTGCTTGCACGGGTGTAGACTCACTCTGGTAACCCAGATCTACACTCCAGAACGGGTAATTTGTTTTGGGAACTCAAGCAACAGATTTTTCCAAAGTGATAGAGGTAGTAATGCACAGAATAAATCTTACTTGTTAAGCTTACAGGGATGTCCTTGATTCCTGAGAACAGACTCTAGCCCCTGTGCCTCCGGAGTGACATGCTACGACCATTCCAGCAGTTTCATGCAACAAAAACAACCTTCAGCAACAGCTGCTCAAAGTGACTTGGGCGCCAGTTGTGTCAGTTGGCAGACACTGCTTTCCTTTTTTTTAACTTTTTTTAATCTTAAAGCTTACCTCTTGCACTCTGCACCTACGCAGAAAAACTTACTAAACAAAAGACATTTTTAATCCCTTGTGATTTGTCATCACACTCAAAAGTCTTTTTTGTGTCATTGATCCTGACTGTGCAGGGATTTCCTTTGGAAAAATGCATCAAGATGGAGATGCTGATCCTGTATTCCCTGTATATACTTAAAGGAATATGAGAGGTTGCTCTGCATTTCCCTTTCTAGTTGCTTTTCAAGTTTTAGCTGTTTTTCTAAACTCTTTAATATGGTCAGCTGACTAGCACTCCTTTTTATGGGCCAGATGCTGCTCAAATAAATTTGAGTTTGCATGTGTGCCATTCAAAATAGCAGTATTAAGTGTGATAAATGTGCATATTCAGTCTTCAATCATAGCAGACAGCCTAAGGTATATATACCTAATGAGTTCTGGGGGTCTTATTTGAGACAGTATACTGTAGTGCATGTATGGCTATTTATATATAACCACATATCTTGAAATACCACCAAAGTTCTTAAACTGCATTTCCAAATCCAATTCAATTTCCAATTATTCTTCTAGAAATGAGTTGCTAGTTTTACCAGTTTGATATAACTAGTTACAAAAATGTTTCAGGAGTTACCTTCTAATTTTATTAGCTAATTTTTTAATGGGCAAAAGGAGTCTGTGTACCTATGACTTGTGCTCAGATCTAATTGCCATCCAAGCTGCTCGTAAGCAAATCATTTTAATTGTGGGAGCTATCTTGAGAAACTGATATGTCATACCGCAAAACACTGACTGTTGTCAGTTCATAGGAGCTGTGAACAGAAATTATTTTATAAGATAAGGCCAAAATTATTAAAATGCATGACTGGTCCTCCAGATTTGCCCTCTTCCTTTTTCTTTTTTCTCTAATCCCAGTTGCCCACCATCCTTTTTATGCTAACCTCAGTTTAATTCATTACTTCATTTTGCTTAACTTTGAGTTCCAGAATCACTAGTTAACTGCAGCTGAACAAAATACCGTGTTGATAGTGTATTTAAAAGAAAGAAAAATGGGGAAAAAAATCCCTAAATACACAATTGCTTTATACATTCTGTTTTGCTGTTGGACAGCATATATAAAGCGATGTTTAAAAAAGTATCTTCTAGTGAGTGATACTTGGTAATGGAATTATCTTGGCTATTAAGTCCAAATCCTGAAGTTGTTACTTAGTTACCCAACTAGTAGCAGAACATGAGTAGACAATGAGACCCTCTGTCCATTGGAATTTTTAGTTTATTTCAGCTAAAGAGCGACAAGGAAAATATGAAGCAGATACATTTATATTGTTCAGAATATGTTTCTCCCTACTCCTAATGAGTTATGATTTGTATTAAGGTGGTGTATACTTGTCTTGTTGTTTTCTAGTTTTTGAATGAATAAATCTTTTCAGAATACCTTTTGATGTTCTTGTGATATCCACAAGATGGCATGCAATCTCTTCTTTTTCAGTGTCTGCAGGTATCAGCATAGGGTTTACAGTTTTATACCAGTAAGAGAGCAGACATTGAGAAATATTAAGTCAAGGAAATATTTGTTTAAGAACTATATGGTTAATTATTTCACAGAGGTCTAATAACTGATATCTCATTCTGTCAAATAGTTGTAATGTTACTTCTTTTTCTCAGTCTTTGTGATGGATTGCTGGGATCCTACTATAACTTAAGCCACCCTTGACATTGGACATCTTTTTCTTTTGTTATTGATTTTACCTGGTTCACATTGGAGGGGGAATTTTGCATAAGTAGACTTTTAATTATCTGTTTTGAAATTTAGTAGAGTTAATGCGCATGTTTCTTCAGAAAGTGTAATCAAATTGTAGTCAAGAACATGTCTGTTAAACCATCTGTTTTCTTGGAGAATAACAGGTTCATACCTGCAATTAGAAAATGTGGGCACCATTTCAGGCAGCTAGAAAAGAACTTCTGTCCTGTGCTTATGCTGCATTTTGTGCAGCTATTACTGTCAGTGAAAAGTTTCTAAATATTTTTCTACAGCCATAGAAACCCGAATACCAAAAACAGAGCAGGTGTTGTGTCACCTGTGCAGGCCCTGTGTCAGGTTACCCAATCTGTTGTGGTCTCATCACACTCACCAGTATTTAATATAATTGGAAACATACTTTGTTTGTCTTGTTTTGTAATAACACATATTGCATATATCTCGTCACAACTTCGGCCCACAGCGCTTGCCTCCTGCTGTCATTGTAAGTGAATGCCTTCCTAGGCATGGCTTAAGGTGGGATCAGGAATATCCTGTTTTCTGCATGTAAAGGCTGGCAAAAATCGCAATGAAATATCTTGTGGATACTGGGTTGTTTTAGGGTTGTCCTGGCCAAGCTGGAAAGTCTGGTTACACTAGGCTCTGCTGAAATATTCAGGAGGTGACTCAGAGAAAAAGGAGCGATGTAATAAAGCTAGTAGCATTTTAACCAGCTCCTTGAAGGTTTCTGTAGCTGCAATGACAAAACTCTCATTGATTCAGGAGTTCATTCCAAGGACACTCTGGCACTCCTTACTTGTAGTAGGCTGAAACCAGGTGATGAAATCCAGAGTACAAAGGCATATATACAAAACAGTCTTACCAGAAGCTTGCCTAATAAACACACCTGCTTTGAAAGTATTTCTGTGTTTTGGTCTGGAA